ACTGGTGAATGAGCCGGCCAGTCGAAATCGCCGTATTTCGATATCAATCGATTTGGGAACATGACACGCAATAGGAGTTTTTTTGAAAATAAATAAAATAAAATTATTAAAATTGAATTATTATTTTTGTTATTTATTTTAAAATAATGTGTTTTTATGAAAGTGAAATGGCCGGGAATTAAATAAAACCGTTTAGTTAATGGACAAGGAAACGTTAAGATTAAAGGGTTTTATTTAATCGACTTTTAAACTGTTCCAAGAGCACATACCCTAGAGACAAAAGAAAGGTTCGCTTGTGATTTAAACGGTTTAAATTTAATGCGGCTGTGATAAGTGCCGCTCGGTTTTAATGTAAACCTAACTTTAAAATATCCGTGTCATGTCAGTCGTTTGTGTTTTGTATATTTTTAAATTTATAATAATATATTGTTTTCAGTTTTTCTAATTATTGTAGGTACACCCCTAGGGGATGAGTTTAATTTTATTGTTTCTAACAAGTAGTACAGTTAGTCTTTACTATAACCAAATTGATTTGGTTAAGAGCGTTTCGTTTTAATATAGATAGCTATCTAATTGCATTTAAGAAAGCCGTTAGACGGAAAAATAATGAAATAGTTTTAAAACGCAATATTTACTGACCAAATTGTCCTAAGATCAAGCAGATTTAATAATAGGTTTTATTAGTTACATTAAGAATCTCTTTAAAACTAAAAGGTCACAATCTAGAACATAATAAAACCAAACAACCTGCAAGTCCTTTATAAAACGAAGTAGTTTTAAAGTTAATTGTAACTAAACCATTTTAAAACAACAAGACATACAAACTTTTAAGATTAATTGCCCTTATTAGCGAATCTTATTAGATACTTTAAAACCAGTATTAAATGCTAAACGGCTTTTAAGTGCCCGCAGTATATCTACAAGGTAACTTTAAAACCAGTATCTTCTTATTTACCACATTAAAACCATTTTAAAACTGAAATAAACCCAAAATGTTTTTATGGTGCTACTTGGGTGTGAGGAATTAGTTAATATTCAATACTTAGTAAATAATTATTACTATTACTGTAAAAATCACATAATAACGTAGTATTTAATAGACGTTTCTGGAATGAATATACAGGGTGTTTATTAAGTATTTGTACAAACTTTAAATGGTGAATCTTTGACTTATTTTAAGGCAAAACGTTCATATGAACACATGTCCTAAACAAACCTCTTAACTTTTGAGCTTCTAATAACTAAGAATATTGCAGATATTTTTACGAAATTTGGTACACGTCTCCTACGCATTATGATGCATTTTTTAATGTACAAATAATTTTATTATTTCTACCAGTGGCGCCCGTACGGGTTTCGTATTAAATATTTTTGCCGAAAAAAATAGTACGCCACTGCTTCATCTTAAAATAACAAATATTTTTGCAATTCTCATTTAGTTTTGAGCAAATTTGGTCTAATGAGTTTTTTTCTCCGACGCATAGTTTTTGTCCGACGCATAGTATTCTGCATGGAACAAGTGAAAAATGTGTCTTTTATTGATCAATATTGTTATGTGATAAACTTAGATTATTTACAGACTAAGACTAAACTACTTTTGCAAATAAGTCAATAACATTTACAACAATTGCTGAAAATGCCCGCCGCCTACTGCAACGCATGCGTCAATTCGCCTTAACATTGATTGACGTACTCTTTCGAATATACCTGGTGTCTGATTAATAATGGCACACGATTCAAATATCCTGTTTCTTAGAACTTGCTCATTTTGAACGGATGTTTTGTAAACGAGTGTCTTTAAGTGACCCCACAGAAAAAAATCCAGAGGATTTAAATCTGATGATCTGGGAGGCCAGGCTTGCGATCCTGCTCTTCCTATCCAACGATTAGGATAATTCTCGTTCAGAAATTGACGTGCAGCCAAACAAAAGTGTGCTGGTGCGCCATCGTGCATGAACCACATCCTGTTTCTGGTAGCCAAATCAATTTCTTCTAAATGTTCAGGAAGCTCGTGCTCCAAAAATCTTCTGTACTCTTCGCCATTTAGCCTTTGTGGAAGAATGCAAGGTCCAATAAGGTGATCCCCGACCCAAATATTTAGAGAAAAACGATCTTGGAAATTATTTTCTATGATAGCATTGGGATTATCTACAGACCAGATATGGTTGTTGTGGAAGTTCATGATGGCGTTTCGAGAAAAAGAAGCTTCGTCTGTAACAAGTACATGGCCTAAGAAATCCGGGGTTGTTAATAATTTATTTCGCAGCCAAACGCAGAAATCTACTCTGAGAGGAAAATCTCTAGGTAGTAATGCCTGTACACGTTGAATATGATAAGGATAAAGTTATTGAGATTTTAAAATTTGCCACACAATTGTATGCGTAATATTCAATTCATGAGCAATTTTCCTTGTACTAGTTTGCGGGTCTTCTTCAATTCTATTTAACACAGCTTCTTCAATTTCAACTGTTCGAACTGTCGCAGGTCTTCCTGGGATATCAATTGTTCTTTTAAAGCTGCCAGTTTCTCAAAGTCTTGCGTGAATATTAATGAAAGTTTGGACATGTGGAACCACCCGTTGAGGAAATCGGGCTTGATACATTCTTTTTGCAGCATTGTGTATTACCGTGAGCCATTCCGTAGACGAAATGAATGTCTGCCATTTCTGCATTGGTACATTCGTACATTTTGAACACAATAATAGACAATAAATTATTACATACATACATTTTTAAATGACAAAAACCATGATCTTTTTTTTAAATAAACTGTCATGACTGATTCCGCTACCATGGAAACCTCTCGGTTGTTTGCAAGGCTTGCTATGCATGTATGTACAATTGTACATTTTAGCAATTTGACTCTGAAATAAAACGGATTTTATTTTTTAAAGCGTAAACTATGCATCGAACGAAAAAACTCAAGAAATTAAATTTGTTTAAAAATAAATGAGGATTTTAATAATAATTTTTGTTTTAATATGAAGCAGTGGCATACTATTTTTTTCTGCAAAAATATTCAATACAAACCCCGTAGGTATGGACGCCACTGGTAGAAAACATAAATTTGTACATCTTAATGCATAGTATACGTGTACCAAATTTCGTAAAGATATCTACAAGAGTCTCACAGTTATTGGAAAAAATAGATTTTTTTCTGAAAACTTTACCACCCTGTAGCACAAAAGTTAAGAGGTTTAGGACACGTGTTCATATTAACTTGCCTTAAAATTAGTCAAAGATTCACTATTTAAAGTTTGTACAAGTACTTAATAAACACCCTGTATATCATTTTTTTAGGTCACCGCGTAGGTAAACCAGGTATTTTTATATTTAGGAATTTCCCATACAAATTAAATATAAAGTAAATACCAATTGATTATACACCTTCGGAAGTATGACGACTATATTTTGACATATTTTAATATTTTTTATCATTTCCACTTTTTTTGCCAATAATAATTAGGAACTGTTATCATTTTTTAAAAAGAAATTGTGACTAAATAGCATAATATATTTGCATTAATTTAAGTATTCTTCAACAACATTACGAGTATATTACATTGTGACTCAGGAAAGTTACCTTTTTTACACGAGTGGGAAATATTGTCGTCGCACTTGTCGCCTAGTGAGAAAATCACACGAATGAGAAAAATCAAAAAACAATTTCTCAAAAAAAATGTAAAACCAGGAAATTTAGCTATGGAGGTTCAATCAAGATATGGCTGGTTGTTTTTATATGCCTTATTGAATAATTTAATAATTAAACACATTGTGATTCCATTTACAAAGACTTTCATAAAATGATAATGTATTAGGTACAAAAAATATTAGAATACAATATTATTCATTTTTTAAATACAACAAGACAACAAACAAGATAAACAATTATGAACAAGAACTTTTTTTATTATTAAGGATGATACCTACTTACAATTTCTATTTAAAGTTACTATAGTACAAAATAAATAGCGAAAAGATTAACTAATTGCCTAACTGTAGGGCTGATATGATAAATAAAATTAATTTCATATATTATTAACAATAATAATCGTATTTTTAAAATTTTTATTTCTCAAAAAAAAATAAAAACAATGTCATGAAATTCCTAAGCCGACCCTGTCTAAAGCAGCTTGGCACCCGACTCATGCTCGAAACGATGGAATCTCCGAGGAATGCCGCTGACGCTCTAGAGTCAAAGTTGGAATTTTCGGGAGTGTCTAGAGACTTCTCGTAGCAGAGTTGGACTTGGTATAAATAGCCCGGCTCATCGGCGCACAGTTTAGTTTAGTATAGAGTATTGGAATGAAAAGTTAAATTGTAATAAATAAATTAGAATTGTTAGTTAAAGTCTAAGTATTATATAAATTAATTAGTACGTCTGAAATAAACTATAAATAAATTAGATTATCGTTACAATAATATTACCTTTATCGGGATTTGAGCAGTGTCGCAAAATTTAAAATTGATAAAATTAAACATTTTACGCTCTGGGCCATAAAATCTTATGTCGAATGAATTATCTAATCAAATATGTTAATTAACCAGGAAAAAAACAAGAATAATGTAATTATTTTTATCGCCAACCGTCAATAGGGCCATACATTACCATAACGATTTGCGGAAGTAAACAAACACTTTATTTTACTGTAAAATCAAATATTTTATCTGAAGCTAATAGGTACCTACTTATCTGTATAGTCATGCGTCTGACAGAAATAGTATGTAAGTAACTGATTTGTTTTGTAGACGCTGTTATTTTTCTGTTTGTATTTTGTCATTCTAAAATGTAATAGTATATTACATAACAAGAGTAGTCAGAAGTTAATTACAATTTTTGGATTAACAACAATTTTAAACAGTTGCTAATATTGCATTTTTAAAGGACCAAAAATGGCAACTGTAATAGTGTATAGCGCCATCTCCGATCTAGTAGGTTAACTAAATAGAATATAGACTAATAAGTAGACAACTAAACAGTAGACTGCTTATTTGTTATTTGTTGTTTCTTTGCAACACGTTTTCAATTTAAAATATATATTAGAAAATAATGTTTATAATAATTGTTAATCAACCACTGATAATAAAATGGACAACAAATTATTTTCAATAAAAGCAGAAAAAATATCTAAGCAATTTTTGTGCACAACTCCTTTATTAAATTTCGACTGGCAAGTAAGTACACCAAAGTACACTATATTTCTAACCTAAAAGTCAACCTGTTTTTTTTTTAATTTTAGAATATATTCGACATATTCTTAACTGAAGATCAACAGTTATATATTTTAAACAAAACAGTAAATTCAGAATTAGTGTTAAAGTATCCCATACAATTAAATTATCAAAAATCATTCCTAAAGCATATTATAAACAATTTGGAAAATAAATTATCAACAGAGTCGGTACAGGAATCTGTAATTCACGATGATGTATATTCAGCGTATGGTCGTTTGGTGGCAGCAGGTGACAGTTATGAAGCAAATTACAAACATTATTTATTTGGAAATAATGGACAAAAAATTATATTAAAAGAAAGCAATAGTTTAATTTCTGATGGGACAACTGGATTAAGAACTTGGCAGGTAAATATTCAAATAAGTACTTACAGTTTTAGTCTACAAAATGGATATTTCAATGATAATATAATATAAAAAGTGCTCTCTAATAGGTTTTAAAAGTTTTTTAAATTATTTACTAAATAGTTGGGTACGTATTTTCTTTCGTGATGTTTATGTTTTTGGTATTATTGTGTGCAAAAATTTTAAAATGTTCAACGGCTATAGGTATCTCAATAAACTAAAGCCTAGATGATTATCAGAGAATGAATTAAATCCATCATTATAAAGCATGAGAAAATACTTAACTCACTTTTTTAACTCCCTATGCGCTTTTCAACGACATTTACGTTATACTCTATATACAGGGTGGGTCAATAAAAAAAATACAATTTAATGCTATTAAAAAAATTGTAATTAAATCAGTAGTACTCACTGGAGAATGGGTAGGAACTGGTCATTTTTTATTTCCAACACTCCCAACTCTAACAATCAAGTTTGTTGCTATAGAGATGTGCTATTTTTATATTTATTATTACCTCTATTGGAGAACTATCAGATCATTAAAAGTGACAGAACTAAATGAGTCCAGATGTTAAACTGGACCTATTCCACCTGGACGCAGGTAGAATGGCTCCCGAGATAATTTGTCCAATTTGTTTCAACCTTTTTGCAGCTAAAGCTTTTTGTGGTTTGTAGATGGGGTTATAGCAGTATAATCACCATTTCAGAAAATTTACAGCATCGTTAAACCCGTTGAACATTATCAAAATAGAAGTTTTTATACACCCTCATGGATATTAACTAATCTACAAAACGATAAAGTATGCTATTGCGTTCAACTGAACGAATATATTTCATATCCATTCTAGGTAGTGAGAACACTGCAAAAAAATAAAATCCACCAATCACAGTTCATATTTTGGACACTCAACTACTTATTTTTAACATTTTGAATAAGTGACAATTCTGTCAAACTACTTGTCAGTATATTTTTTAGTTATTGAGTTTAAATATACATTAAAATGAGATATTTTTCTGTAGAAACTATATATAATAGACTTTTTATCTGATGAACATTTTGAAAAACAAAATAAATTCTAATCAAACTATGAAACTAATTTAATTACGAGTATTAAAACTCGAAAAGAGGCGGTGGAGCTGAGGACAGAGCGTCTGTCTTCCACTCGAAAATCCCGGGTTCGAATCGAGTCGCCGACGCGGAGTGCTCAATCGTCTAAGTACGAACTGGACTATCTACTCGAGTTGTACAGTACATTTTTTCTACGACCCACTAATGAGAATACAAATTTAAAAAATATTTTAGATTATTAAGACAAAATAACTAATTTTAAAATAATTTATGACTTTTACTTATTTATAGAATAAAATAAAAAATATATATATTTAATTTAATTAGTCCCAAGCCCAGATTTGAATCCGGACCTCTCGCGTAGTATACAGACGCCGTGTCCTAGCCTCCACTGCCACATTTAAAATTTTAGTTTTAATACTCATAAATTAAATTAGTTTCATATACAGGGTCCCCACATAGCTGTAAAGGAAATGTTTACCTTTATCTAATGGTATAAAAATCAAATATGGCATCCATAAGAAAAACAAAACATCGTATCTCTGAAAAGAAACGAGATACACGATTAAACCTTTTTGCAAATAATAAAGAAATCTTCTACTAAACAAAAGATAGTAAATTTTTCCTAAAAACCCTTAATTTTTGACTTATAATGAATTTAAGAGAATGACAACGTTTCTGTCCAATATTTCGATTCTCCCTGTAGATATTTAGGGTTTCTTGGCAGCACTTACAAGAGCACAAAAATACGTAACTTTTGTCTAATTTAACCAACTTGCTATCTTTTACCGTTTGGAAAATAGCAATACTGTCCCTATGAAAAAGTGAGGATCCTGTAGTTTGATTAAAATTTAAGATTTATTTCTAAATGTGGATGAAATATAAATGCTATTATTTATCGATTCTACACAAAACTAACTCATTTTAATTAATGTATATTTAATCTCAATTAAAAATATGACAGTTTGACAGAATTGTCACTTATTTAAAATTTTAAAATAATAGTACTTAGTCGGGTGACCAAAATATGAACTGTGATTGATGGATTTTACTTTTTTGCAGTGTTCTCACTACCTAGAATGGATATGAAATATATTCGTTTAATTGAACGTAATAGCATACTTTTTCGTTTTATAGTCTGCGCCTAAATCAGCTAATATCTATGTGGGTGTAGAAAAAATTGATTAGTCAGTAACTTCTTGCTGATTAAACTATAGGGCTATTGTTTGTTAATCAGTCAAGTAAACTTACATGTAACTTTACTCAGAGGTGAAAAGATCGACCCTTAATGTTACGCTTATTGATGCTAGTTAGCGAAAATCGGATAATTATCCGAATATTGGCAACACTGCTAAGATAATAAACAGAGTCGCTGTCAGCACAGGAGTAGGGCTGAAATTTTCGTTGACCTCTTACTCGTAAGAATTCCGTATCTGAGACCTGCGCGCTCGAGCGACATCGCCTGATCTGATCGACCGGTCTGATCGTCCGAATACGTGTATTCAGGGCGCTATAACTTTTAGCCCTGCTAGTTAGCAACATCAGCTAACGGAAAATATATTGAACGCCAGGAACGGCTGCTAGATTATGATTGGAACAAGTAAAACAAAGAGCCATATGAAAATTATAAATAGTCGTGGAATATAAAAATAGTATGGGCAGATAATATACGAGTAATACATTTTTATTTTATATGTATATAATGATATGGAAACACCCAATATATGGATTTCCAAAATATCGAAAAACTACCAAATCTCAAAACTGGGCGGGTTTAAAATCTAGAAAATTTATAAATTTATAAAAAAAAATAAAAAATAATTAAAAATCAATTGAATAAAAAAAAATCTTCTATTTCTCTTCCTTGGCTGTTGTGTTCCTGCTCCTACTCCGGCTCCTACTGTTAGTTCTTTTGTCTGCCCTGGTTCCTCTGTTCTCCTTTCGTTGTTTTCCTATAATATCTCCTGCTACTCTTATTTTCACTTTAATTAATTCTGGGTTCTGTTAACTGTTTCTTTAAATTTAAATAAAACTTTTCTTTACCTTTATTTTTATATTTTTCTTTATTTAAATCTTCCAATCTTTAACATATAACTTCTTTAACAATATTACTCTTCAATATAACCCAATTTCAGCTACTAGAGTTCATCAAATTTCTAGAGGCTTTCGACGGCTAGACAGAGAAAGCACTACTGACAGGCATCCCGACGGATTTACGCAATGAAAGTACACTCTGCGCATCAAGTATTTCACTATTTCATTCAGACGTAAATGTCAGATGTAAATTTCGCTAAAACATTTCTTTTATTTTCGTTTGTGTTTTTTGCTCATTACAGTTTAATAGAACCTAAGTATGGAGTTTAATAGCAAATTAAGAGGCCGCGTGATTAACAGTCAATCTCGCGAAATAATAGCCAATGTTATAGAGTTTATGAGAAGAGAAGGAAACTTTAATTCACCTTCAATACCATTTAAAAATGTAAATGATCGTGTTGCTGCAGCCACAGGAGTATCTAAAAACACTGTCGTCCGCATTTCTGGAGAGAAAAAAAGAATCGATAACCGTGAGATATCGGAATTTTCATCACCAAGAAAAACCATTAAAAAACCAAAAACAGTTAATGATATAGATGAAGCTGCACAAGAATCAAATTTTATTTTTTTATTATTAGATAGCTATTTTTGTTTCTGAGTTGTGTTCATTTACAGGCTCAATTTTTTTCCGTTTCTCCTTTTTGATTTTATATGGGGTTTCAAGTTGTTTTTGACTTATTTCGACGTAAATCACAACAACACACTTTTTTAATAAAGCAAACAAGTGTTAAGAGGTATATGTACGTGTAAACTACAATTACAAAAAATTGATATGAAACCCATGAAACCACCAACAAAAATGTTAAGCTAGCTTCCGTACTAGAACATGGTGTCATTCGTCGAGATAATTTATCGTTTTGTTTAATAGATCAAGAAATGTAAATATTCCCCTGTTATTTTTTATAAAATTATAAGAGAAATAAATTTTTTTCTAAATAGTATAGTTTATTATTTTGCAGAAAAACAAAATTTCGAAAATTTTAGTAATGTTTCAGAAACAACCGTTATTAATAATAGGTACCATTTTCCTTAATAAGGTAGAAATAAAATATAAACTATATCCACGATTTACAAAGGCCTACAAAAAAATTATAGGTATTTTCCGCTATCCTATAAAATTTATATTTTCTGACTCAATTTCAAAAGGTTGAAGGAATTCCAAAACACCTTTTATGGCATAATAATTATTTTCAATTCTACATACTATCTTTAGCTGCTTTTAAAAACGTTCTAAGAAAGTCCAATCAGACCAATTTAATCCCTAAACTATTCCACACTTTTAAAATTTAATTACCTAAAAATATTAAAAACTATTTAAAATAACTTGTTTAGCAGACTGTACAATAGCTATCTTAGTCACACGTAGCGCGTTCTCTGTCTGGGCGTCGAACACCTCTAGAAATTTGATGAACTGTACATTCAATAATCCATCTGATTTTTTTTTTTTTAATTCCTATCTGACAATTCATCATTTTGATGACAATCTATTATCTTCAAAAAATCAAATTAACAACAACCTTGATAATTTTACAATATAATTATTCTAGACTCTAAACCGTCCAGCTTTGCTAACTTCAATTTTGACATTTTAATTTAAAATTTCGTTATCTGGGAATTTCCCTTATCAATAAATTGATTTCCTCATGTACTGGAGGGCTGTAGCCTTATAGCCCTTACAAACAAGCCGTCATTGGTACTATTGAACCACCCCGTATGGGATATCACTTTTATCGTTGAAAATAAATGTGCCAGTACTTCTAATTCTAAAATGCGTAGATATTGTGTCTACTTTTTGGTACAATTAAAAATTATAGGGTTTACTTTAGTGTAAATTTCTAAAATACTGATGGTGTGGACTGTTTGCTACAGTATAAAAAACTTCCCTCACAGCACTTAGGCCTCATTAGGCCCATTGTCCATCCTCCTAAGATGATAGGCACCTTCTAGCTTTGAGCCAGCCTACAGATTTAATGTAGTTGACAACGTCGCCAAGAGGTGCTTCTGTTATATCGGCCGGTGTTAGCCGATACTCGCCGAACACAAATCTTCTAATAAATGAGAGCGTCGAGCAATCGTAAAGGATATGCTCGATGTTCTCATCTTCTTGTTCGCGTCCTCTGCAGAGTGCGGATTCTGACAGCGCCATGATATGGAGATTATGTCTAGTCATAGTCAAGTAATTGTTTGCTGCAGTGTTGTCAGAATAACTTAAGAGCTTCCTGGCAACTCTGCAGTTTCTTCTTTCATCCTATCTTTCCTTGAATTTCACAATTACCTAATTAGGTCTGTCACTACCCATTTTGTCAAGCCAATAGAAGGGCCAGGTCCAAAAAGTATTTGGTTGGCTGCTTTCTTGGCTAGTGAATCAGCAAGACGGTTACCTTTCGATGTGGCGTGACCTTTGATCCATCTTAAGGTGACCACATTGTTGATGGATACTTCTGCCAAAGCTTCGTGATATTCTAGTACTAACCCTGAATAAATTCGTGGTCTGTTCAGGGTGAGTAGTGCTTGTCTGCTATCTGTATAGATGATCGTGTTCCTTCCAGTGATATTGTTTCTGATTATTTCTTTTGCTGCTATGTTTAGGTTTAAGAATCTGGAGTATATTCCACATCCCTAGCCTTGTTTTGTTTTAGAACCGTCGGTGTAGATATGAATCGTACCTGCCACTTCTGGCTCTTTTATTTGTTCTATTATAACTTTATATGGCTTATGGAAGATATATCTCGGTGAGATGGAGTCCATGTTTGCTTGAAGCAGTGGGAGTGAGACTAAGAACGACTTTTATCGCTCTGGTCGGTGTTATGTTGAGACATGCTGTTCTTTGAATTTGTTCTAGTTTACGGATAGCTGTTAATGTTTGGGTTTTCGGTACCCAGACAACTGCACCGTATGTTAGCATAGGCCTTATGATAGCCGTGTAAGTCCATGCGACGACTCTGGGGGAGAAACCCCAGGTGCGCCCAACGGTTCGGCGGCATTGTTCATAAACAATGTATGCTCTTTTAACTATGTTTTCTAAATGCGATTTCCATGTTAACTTGCTGTCATGGGTGAGACCTAGATACTTCACCTCTGTTGCAAAGTTTAGTTTTGTGTTTAGGAGTTCTGGAGGTTTTAATTTTATTTTAATCCTTTTCCTTGTGAAAAGGACCATTTCTGTCTTCTTAGGATTGATAAACAGTGAATGGTCCTTGCACCACTGTTCTATAATTTTTAGAGCTACTTGCATTCTTTCGCCGAGTATGTTCTCAAAATTCCCTGTTTGCAAAATGACCAGGTCATCTGCATATGCTATTGTGTAGTGACTGTCATTATTGAGGCGGCTGATGAGGGTGTCGAGGACCATATTCCACAGTAGAGGTGATAGAACCCCCTCCCTGTGGACATCCCCTCGCAACCAAGCCTCTTTTATTCAGATCTTCTACACTTATGTTTACTGCTCGCTTTGAGAGCATGTTATGTATCCACCCACTAAAAATTTGTGGAACATTCCTGTTGGTTAGTGAGTGTATTATCTTTGGGAAGGTGGTTTTATCAAAAGCACCTTCTATGTCTATGAAAACACCCAAGGCGGACTCCTTATTGTCCAGGGATCTTTATATCCGGCCAGCAACTAGATGAAGGTTTGAATCAGTCTTCATGGAAAACGATGTTAGACTAATTGGTCGGTATGTTTTTGGGACAGTGTAATCCATCCTTCCAGGTTTGGGTATAAATACCACTTTTACCTTTCTCCATTTTTTGGGGATATACCTCAGAGCCAACGAGGATCTGAATATACCCACCAGGTACTGTGTGAGTTCTTCCAGGCCCCACTGAAGTAGGGCTGTATAGATACCATCAGGTCCTGGCGATTTAAATGGAGAGAAACTGGATATTGCCCATCTAATTTTTTCATCGTCTACAATGTGCTTGGCAGTTTGCCAATCATAGATAGATGGATTGTATTCTTCCTCTGCCCAATCGGCCACGTCTGTAATGTTATTTTTGTATTTCAATCGATACGTGACTAACATTTTTTTTGTAAATATTTTTATTTTAGGCTTCATTAGCATTATCAGAATGGATAATCCAAAATAAAGAACATTTCAACGAAAAATCGGTTCTCGAATTAGGATCTGGAATAGGCTTGACTGGATTAGTCCTACAGAAAAGTTGTCTCCTAAAATTTATTTATTTAACGGACTGCCACAGTACAGTGTTGGAAAACTTGTGTGAAAATATCAAAATAAATATTTCCGAAACTGATAATGTAGATAATAGGAATTTATTGGTTAATACCAACATAGGAAATAGGTAGATAGTTTATTTATAGCTATTTTAAAAATATATTTATTTTGAGAAATTGCTGTATAATATTTTTTTTTCACTTTTTAGGTGTTTACACACTAACAACGATCCTTCAACATTGAGTATACTGAACCTTCCTTGGGAGGATTTTAATTCAGAAATATGTAAAGACTTGGGTGCTATAGATAAAGTCATAGCAGCCGATATTGTATATGATACAGATCTTTTTGAATCGTTAATGAATGCCATAAAATGTTTAAAAGATTATTGCGGCGTCGAGGAGTTTATTTTTTCATGTACAGAAAGAAATTCGGAAACGCTCGATGAATTTTTAACATTAATGAGTAAGTCATTATTTGTAAATATTTATAATTTATTTAAAAATTTTGAGGAAAATATTTTTTTTATGGTTGCTATACAATTTTTTTTTTTAGCTTGCTTACATTGAAAATTACCTTTTTCTCGTACGGCTTTTCTCCTAAAACAATTATCTAGACAATAAAAAACATGTTAAATTTAATAATTTAATGCCAGTGTAATTTTATATATTCACATTTTAGATAAAAATATCTATAGTCTGGTTCACAAGTGCCATTTCCCTCGAAACCTGTCCTCCAGCACCGAAAATTATGATTTTGGGCTCATTCGATTCGGAATGGCATCTAGAACATTCTATCAAAATTCCAAGAGGGGCTGAAAAAAAATGCAAAAGTTATAAACAATAAAGTAAAATAAAAAATAAGGGTTTGGTTTTTTTGAAATATTTCAAAAACTATTTGAGATAATTGAAATTTAAAAAAAGATCCTTAAAGAGCAGGAAATTTCCTAAAAAAAAGTCCTACCTCCCGGAACTGTACCAACAACCCTTATAATTTTAATTAAGCGGCGAAAATAACGGTAAAAACGCGTGGTTCGGCTGCCGCGCGCATCGCCCCAATCTGACACATGAACTAAAAAAATTATTTTAACTGATTAAATATTAATATTAAGGAATAAAAAAATTTGGGTACTAAGTAGACATATGAATAAACAATAATCTGTAAACAAAAAATTTTTATCACTATTTTTTTATTAATTATGCTTTTGTTAATTAGTTAATTTTCACCATTTTAATGTTAACATAAAAACGCTGATTATTTCAAAACAAGAAATCTAGAATTTTTTTTGATTTTTTTGAGCTATTGTTAAAAGGGTTTAGAAGATATACCCGTTGGAAAAATTCAAAAATTTTGATTTTTCACTTTTTTATTAACAATCAAAGGCATTAAAAAATTATTTATGTAAATAAAGCCATTAGGAAATTTTTTTTCCAATTATTAATATTTTGTTTTCTTATTGATATAAGCCATATAAAAATAATTTTTTTTATTTTTAACTAACATTATTTAAATAATTGTTATAAACAAATGCATTGTTTATTATATTTTTGAAAACTTTTTCTTTGGAATTTTATCCTTGATGAAAATAATGATTTTTAAAAAAAAATCGTTCCTTAAAAAAAAATTTTTATTAACAAAAAACGCACTTAACAATTAACAATTTTTTTTTGTTACTGAATATTAATATTAAGGAACCATTTTTTTTTAAATCATTATTTAATAGGTTCTTTCGTATTATAAAAAAAATTTTTTTATTAATTTTTCTTCTGTTTATTAAACAAACATTTGTTATAAACAAATGCAATTTTACGCAATATTTTTTTTTAAATACTAAAAAATATTACAAAAACAACCATATATATTTTTTTATTGAAAAATGGCTTTATTTACATAATAAATTTTTTGATTGTTAATAAAAAAATTAAAAATCAAAATTTTTGAATTTTTCCAACGGAGATCTCTTCTAAACCCTTTTCCCAATAGCTCAAAAAAATCAAAAAAAATTCTAGATTTCTTGTTTTGAAATAATCAGCGTTTTTATGTTAACATTAAAATGGTGAAAACTAATTAACAAAAGCATAATTAATAAAAAAAATAGTGATAAAAATTTTTTGTTTACGGATTATTGTTTATTCATATGTCTACTTAGTACCCAAATTTTTTTATTCCTTAATATTAATATTTAATCAGTTAAAATAATTTTTTTAGTTCATGTGTCAGATTGGGGCGATGCGCGCGGCAGCCGAACCACGCGTTTTTACCGTTATTTTCGCCGCTTAATTAAAATTATAAGAGTTGTTGGTACAGTTCCGGGAGGTAGGACTTTTTTTTAGGAAATTTCCTGCTCTTTAAGGATCTTTTTTCAAATTTCAATTATCTCAAATAGTTTTTGAAATATTTCAAAAAAACCAAACCCTTATTTTTTATTTTACTTTATTGTTTATAACTTTTGCATTTTTTTTTCAGCCCCTCTTGGAATTTTGATAGAATGTTCTAGATGCCATTCCGAATCGAATGAGCCCAAAATCATAATTTTCGGTGCTGGAGAACAGGTTTCGAGGGAAATGGCACTTGTGAACCAGACTACTAGTGGGAAAAAGTAAAGTTATTTTAAAGAAATTATTAACTAATAGCTGACGAAAATAGTAGCTTTTCCATATTGTTAATAGTTTATTAAAAAAAAGCAGTCGAAAATATTAGATATAGACCTAAACAAAATAAATAACTAAAAATTTGGTACGTTAAAAAGATTATGGAAATTACGAATGGCAAATGTTCGTACAAAAAATAATAAGCGGGCGTAGAAAAAATAAAGTTTGCAATATATGAGTAATAAAACCTATTTTTCCACAAACTACTATTTCTTAACGTTTTTATTTTCTAGGACAATTATTTCGAGTAATAGAACAAGTGACAACTCCCAATCAATCAATTTTTATATGGCCAAATGATACACCAATTAAGATATTTAGGTTCAAGGATTGAATAATTTGGAACGCATCGATACCTAATAATTTATTAATCAATATCAATAAATGCTAATAAAAATGTTTTTAAGCTTTTTGGGTATTTAATTGTAGTGTATCCATTTTAATTCGCTAGTTACACAAAACCTTTTGATGTTTGAGTGTTTTTTAATTTTATTGTACGTTGTGACCACATGTTTGTTCAGTTAAATATCACCGATAAATATTATAGTACTCTGGGTGAAAAAAAGCATCAAGCTGAAATAATATAAAGCAAAAACAGAAATAAAATTAAAATTGAAATTATACAACCGCTTACTTACCTGATAAACAGAAGTTTTAATTATGAACGGTTTCCAGAGTGTCTAAAAAATAAAAAATAAACTTTCAATGTTTTAAAAATATATCAAAAAATTTTTTTAAATTAAAATAATAAAATGTTTAAATAAATTTTACATTTTGTCCGATGAACAATGTGGCATTAGAGAAAAAGTCTACAGAAGATGCGATACGGGTAAAATTATAACATCGCTTTAGATTCAAAAATATCTGCAATTTCCATCTTAGTCGATCTCTCGACAGTTTGTGATAAGCGGTTATCAGGGTTGCCAACCTGTCTTTACCGATTTACTCTCAAAAACTTTTCCGGATTACTCACAATTACTCACAACTTCAAAATATTAATATTACTAGTTTTTTTATATAAATCTTATATTTTGTACTCTTGCATTTTGGTTTGAATTTATTTTACTACTGTACAATGTTGCCAAACATTAAAAGATAAATTTTCAGAACATACAAGAGTCAAAACAGATGCATCTTTTTCTGTGCATTCACTATTTTAATAACAAAGTAATATACAGGTTGATTCATAACTATTGGGACATAGGCTAAGGCAGGTTATTTGGACAAAAATGTGGCGATAGGACCAAATATACCTTAATAAAATATTGCTGTGGAATTTGTTTTTTTTCTGACAGCACACCAAATCCTTTGGATATCTACTGAACATCCCAATATCCACTGAATGTCCAGTCCATTTTATATCCATGAAATGTAATTTATAGGCATGAAAATGTCCATAAATAGTCGTAATTATATAGCAAATTAATAAAAGATTACGCCATTGTGCTCGCCATTGTGGCTAATAGTACCGTTTAGATATTTAAAATTAATTTTTTAAGGTGTATTCAATATCCCATGAACATCCACTAAATATATCAAAGTCTAGGCGCGAACACAAACCATCGTGGATATCCAATAGATGTTATTTGATTCTGCTTACTAAGTATAGATGGCGATACCACTATCGCATCTACTCATGCTCGACCCGCCGTAATTGAGTTCGATCGAAATGTGTGTTCTAATTACTCCATTAGAGACTGGAGTCGAGAATTTTCATTTATTGCTGAAGAGTCCTAATAAGGATGACTTTCTCCTTAGTGGGCAAAATCAAAGGCAGAGTGTTTTTTTTTTTAATTTGGTGTCATCGGCGTCGACTACTACGACCATTAGTCTCGTGTTCTGTGTAGGCTTTGTTACTGTTTCCCAGCGCCGCTTTAGGAACAGCACTGTTAATTAGAACCCAACAGTGAATGGTCGAGTGGGGAATCCTACCAAGGCATCATAATTAATTTTAAATAATTAAATTAAATGAAAAAATCCCGGGAAAATATTTTGAGTGTTGAAAATATTTTTTATCTCTGCTATTTTCTTTCGACGTTATTCAATAATCATTGGTTACTTATGAACCTCTACTAAAGAAACCCATAAAATATTTTGCTGAATATCGGAATATCTTCTATATCCTGGGATATAGACGGACATTTGGTTGGATATCCATATTGGATATATTGAATATCCACAAAATATATTCTGTGGATATCTCTGTGATTTCTTGTATTTTCTGGAAGATACCCATTAGATATTTTGCTAAATATCCATTAGGATATCTTCTATATCCTGGATATAGACGGATATTTGGATATCCATATTAGATCCACGGAATATTTCTGATATCCTGTGGATATATTGGATATCCACAAAAGATATTCTGCGGATATCTCTGGGATTTGGTGTGTTGTCTGGGGTATATTTATGAATTAATATCAAAATTGGCACAAAGGCATATTTTTCGACAAGGAATAATATTTTATGTATTATTTCATATTTTGTTACAGGAGGCGCCACGTGAATGAATCCTGATGATGAAATTAAATGGTAACTTTTTTTACTAAACTTTTTAGTATTTTTGATTAGAAAATTTCACCCGTTTTCGAGAAAAACGCAATTGAACAACTCACAAAATATTTCATTTATGAAAAGTCTGCTTTACAGTGTCAAATAATTTGCTGTTAGATTATAGTCTATTATTATTACTATTATTATTATTTAACGCCCTATATCTTATTCCACAGCAATATTTTATTAAGGTATATTTGGCCCTATCGCCATATTTTGATACAAATAACCTGCCCTTAGCCTATGTCCCAATAGTTATGAATCACCCTGCATATAAAACATCTTTGTCATCAGCTGATCAAAAAACACAGATAAAAAGGATTGGAGAATCAGAGTAGCTTCTTTATTAACGGACCAAATCATAATAAATCATTAATTCTAATATTTAAAAAAAATCTACTAATAAAAACATATACTTTTAAAATGAACAAAAAAAGGATATTAATCGACGGTTGGGACAGTCCCAATGGGACTATCACTATCGAAACGACACCTAGTGTTGTAAAATATCAAAATTACTTTTACTCTATTACATTGACCAAGCTATAGAGGACGTTGCAATTTTAAAACTATAAAATTGTAATGACTGCTAAAAGTGCTAGGAGGGTAAAATAAGGCTTATATTAAAATTTTTAAAAAGAACACAGTTTTAATAAATTATCCGATCAGGATTTTGCCTAACTGCCATGAATATACCCACGCCGACTTCCCGATTACTCACATATTACTCACAATTGCCCTTTACTCACAAAATTACTCACAGACTAGTAAATTACTCACAAATGTGAGGAATTACTCACAGATTGGCAACCCTGGCGGTTATAGGCGAAAAAAGCTTAGACTCCAGCGCCTCTACCGGTCACTTTTTCGTCCTCCGCTGGGCCATTTATAGTTTGTTTACATTTGTTTTCATATGACATGCCATAGGTTTTTCGTAAGATTAGGCGTTGAATTTTTCGTTTTTAAAGTGTGTAAAGGATTTTAAACTTAAGCTTTGTTTCAGCGTCCAATGAGCTGATTAGATTTTGGGCAGAGTCTGAACATCTGGGGGGTACTTTATAGGTGGTCATTTTTATATTTTATGGAATATATCTGTTATTTACGTTTGGAGAAGAAAATTCTTCAAATAAAAGTTACTTCTTATATAATTATCTATAATTTTTGTTTTATGCAAAATTTTCCTAAAATGGTCCGTATTCGAGAAATTTGACAAAATGTAAAAAAAATATTTTATAATTTCTCTAAAATGGACCGTATTCGAGATATTTGAGAAAATGTGTAAATTTCGAATTTTGAAGAAAACTCAAAAACGGATAAAGGAAAAAACATTAAATTTTAAACTTAAGTTTTATTTCGACCTGAGGTGAACTGATTAGATTTTGGACAGAGTCGGAACATTTGGGGGGGTACTTTATTGGTGGTCATTTTTATATTTTATGGAATATATTCGTTATTTACGTTTGGGGAAGAAAATTCTTTAAATATAAGTTACTTACAATATTATTATCTATAATTTTTGTTCTATGTCAAATTTTCCTGAAATGGTCCGTATTCGAGAAATTTGACAAAATGTGCAAAATTCTGATTTTTAAGAAAATTGTTAATCTAAAAGTTGTTTGCGATATCGATCTCTATAATTTTTGTTTTTAAATGACTTTTCTAAAATGGACCGTAATGGAAAAATTGGAGGAAAAGTGCTAAATTAAAATTTTTCAGTATTTTCGTTTTCAATGAATATCTATAGAAAAATGTTTCGAGGTAGATGTATGTGGAAAATGTATATATTTAGTTTATCCTCTAAACATTTTTAGAGATGCTGCAATAGGTTAACTAGATAGGAAAGTCATGTGTTGGACACATCAGATTTTTTGAAAAGAGTCTTCAGTGACAACTTGTAACTGAATTCCAGAGCAACGATTTGATACTTGCTCAACTAGACATTTAAGATCAGGAATATCTTCTCCTAAAGCCACTAATCGATCAGCAGTACGTTTTATCACTCCACCAATACCGTCTGGAACTCCCTTTCGATGACCTGCTTCAGAAAAGTTCCAAGTCATGATTGAAGGTTTCAATATATCTACGAACTTGGAAGCAAAAAAACATGTTTTTGTTCCGATATTGGGTCGTCGGCCCGTCACTGAGAAAATGCACCTTATTAATGGTTATCAACTTTTCCGAAATTTGTTGAAATAATGGTTGAAGATGAACAAAAATTCCAATGTGATCATGACGGGTATTCTCAGATAAATTGCAAAACGAGTTTCTTTTTATTTCTCCATTTTCTGATTTGTAATACCAAACTACAATATGCAGTGATATTTGGGGTTTAGCTCCACCAAAATGCGCACTTTGTATCTCTCTATTGTATTTGCCCTAGTAGTTTTTAGAAAAATACATATGCACGAAAACATCTTGTTCTTCTAATTAATCTTTTAAGGTGTCGATAAACTGATATTGATGTCTCATATTTGCAATGTGTTGCATATACTTTGGAAGATCATGCTGAAGAGCTTTCATCATTTTTTCTTTGTTACAAATAAAGACTTTCTTCATGTACTTTTTGCATGTCTTCTAAATGCCTTTAACAATTGAAGAGCCCAGTGGATGAAGGTGTTAAGTTACAAAAATGTAGTTCTGAGATAATCAATATTTTGTAAAAATTGGTGTGGATTTTTACTTTACAAATATTGTATGTGTTTTAGAGGTTCGTATGCATAAAGCAGGTTTCAAAATATCACCTATTGTGAAAATTTAATAACTATATATAATTTAGATTACTTTTGATGGCTTTATTGGTACATAACACCTTCTCTCCCTAATAATATTGCAAC